AGGAGAGAGAGAAGGAAGGAGAGAGAGAGAGCGAGTGCAAAAGACAAGGCTAGAGAGTGAGTGAGCAGAAGTCTGAAATACATTTATACCTAAGAAAGCATACGGTCCACCTGAAGGGGCCATATTTACCCCTACCCTGTAACTATTCTCTGCAAGAACCCTTCCCCATGAAAGGACATGGGAAAAAGCCCAAAGAAAGGTGGTGGAGGCTTGGCAATAACGTCTTTCTAGTTTTTAATATTTATTTTTGACAAATAAAAATCGTGTATATTTAAGGTATACAATGTTATTTAGATATATGCAGAAACTATGAAGTGATTACCACAATCAAACTAATTAACATATCGATCACCTCTCATAGTTACTTTGTGTGTGTGGTGAGAACAATTGAGACCTACTCTCTTAGCAAATTTCAAGTATATAAACCCACTATTAACTACAGTCAGCATGCTGTACATTAGGCTTCCAGACCTTATTCATCTTATAACTGAGAGTTATTTCCCCTTTTGCCCTACCCCCCACTCCTGTGGTACCCAACCATTGCACTCTCTCTGTTTAGATGAGTTTACTTCTTTTTAGATGCTACATATATGATCTCACATTGCTACATGAGATTATACAATATTTGTCTTTCTATGTCTGGCTTTTTTTCACTTAGCATAATGTCCTCCAAGTTTACACATGATGCTGCAAACAGCAAGATTTCCTTTTTTTTTCTTTTTTTACAAATGAATAATATTCCATTGTGTGTATGTATGTGTGTGTATATATGTATGTATGTCACATTTTCTCTATCCAGTCATATGTCAATGAACATTTAGGTTGTTTCCAAATCTTGGCTATTGTGAATAATGCTACAATGAACATAGGAGTGCAGACATCTCTTCAAGATAGTGATTTTATTTCTTTGGATTTATACCCAGAAGTGGGATTGCTGGATCACATGGTAGTTCTATTTTTTAATTTTTTTGAAGGACCTCCACACTGTTTTCCACAGTGGCTGTATTAATTTAGATTCCCACCAACAGCGCACAAGGGTTCCCTTTTCTCCACATCCTCGTCAGCACTTGTTATCTTTTGACTCTTTGATATTAGACCTTGGCAAAAACCTCTTAACAGCTGCTCTTCCCCTGGTATTTTGGAAGGGAGCCAAGCAGCCCCATATGAATGGGGTTGAATGGCAAACCCATTGTGGGCTCCATGTCTTCTAAGGAAGCACACCCCATTCCTGCCCTCTGCACTTGACACACCGTAAGAATGAACTTCATGATTGTGATGCACTTCCAGCATGGTCGGCATCCAGCCCAAAATGGTTTTAGTGACTATAGCTAAGCAGGTGCTTGTTGAGCCAACTTTAATACTAATGAGCAGTGGGATAATGGCCTTGCAATGCTTGGCACAGCAGCCACTTTCTCTTCATCTCTTAGCACAAAATATACTTACTAATTATAAATTAAATTATCTGTTTCATTATTTAATGAAAGTACTAAGTATAATGTCTTCTCTTCCACTGTTGGCTGACACACATTGCTGAGTGTTTTTCAACGGGGAGCCAACACTCAACTCATATAACTTCTAGGGACTATCTGCCACTCCATTTTAGGGGGAAGAAAGCAAGATAGTTCAATTACTTCTTGGCTTCTGGAAGAAGGTCTCTTTTTTTGTCTCTCCCCCTTCCAGTTAAGAGGTTACACCAGCACTGTGGCTCTAATTTGCTGGTAATCGCATTGCCCATCAATACTCAGGATTTGGGGGTAGAAATGTACAATTGGACAGCACCTGGAAGCAGAGTTGGGTTTGGCCTAAACTGACCGAGCAGGGGTGGTGGCAGTCTGTATCTGGAAGTTTCTTAGTCCGAGGAGGAGCTCTCAGACTCGGTCCTGCTGGCCCCTGGGAAATACAACGCCTGTCTGGCTGGGGAGTGTAGAGGTGGGCCAAGTGTGAACAAGACTGGGACAGGGCCAGAAGCTGATCTGAATTCAGTGAGAGAATGATGATGAGGTTCAAAGATTTCCAAGGGGCTAATCAAATGCTTTTTCTTACATCATATGAACCAAATGCCAGTTAGTTCCAGGCAGCTACTTTCCAAGGTAGTGTTTGGGATTTCTTGTTGTTCACCACTTAATTCAAATTCTATGAAGTCATTCACTGAACTAGGAGGTACAATGACCTCAGAGCCTGCAAGGACATTTCAGTGTGTACACAGCAAGGAGAAGAAAACAATGCCCAGTGCTGGGGGCCACAGGGGGGTGTTCTGAGCAGGGGGACGGGGCTCCTGGAAGGAGGCTTCAGAAACAATGACAGACCCACAAAGGAAAATGCCACTGGGGCTGGCTCCCACGCCCCATCAGCAAGATACTTAGAGCTGGGTTACGGACAATAGGAATTCATGTTTCACAGGAAGAAAGAAGTATCTAGTTATGTATGAAGGTTTCAGGTACTTGAGCAACCAGAATGCTTTCATGGTTTGGAAATGCAGACAATACAGGGACAGCAATCATTTTACATGGCTAGGAAGAAAGAAAATCAACACATCGCATATTCCCACTTAACTGGAACACAATCAATCATAAAGGTCAAATAGCAGGTTTTTGTGTGATGACTACACAGTGTGCCTCTTACTTTAAAGAGTGCCCCATGCCAAGGAAATAAGATACTGTCAGGGCTTTGATCTAAAAAGAAACTTTCAGGTTACAGCTGTGTGCATTTATATCTCGGTTTCCTTTAAACTTTACTGACTTGGCATCATATTATGATAAATAATTCAAAGACATCAGAATTTTAGGGGCTTTTACAGATAAGAACTGGGGCTCACAGAGGTTTAGTGCCTAGATCAGACTCCCAGAGGTAACCAGGCAGGCAGGGCTTCCGGCACATGGTCCAGGGAGGCTCAAAATGGGGCCAGCAGACACTGAAGAGAGGCTGATTACATAAAACATGATTTTCATCTGTAAATATATATATATATATACATGTATGTGTGTGTGTGTGTGTGTGTGTGTGTGTGTATTATGTGATAAAAATTGATTTCAGAGAGGAAGGGAGAGGGAGAGAGAGATAGAAACATCAATGATGGGAGAGAATCATTGATTGGCTGCCTCCTGCATGCCCCACACTGGGAATCAAGCCAGCAACCAGGCATATGCCCTGACCAGGAATTGAACCGTGACCTCCCAATTCATAGGTCGACGCTCAACCACTGTGCCACGCTGGCCAGGCCATTTGCAAATATATTTTAATAAAATCTAATTTTTTTTAAATCAGTGAAAAAAAACATACAAATGAGGTGGCTCTCAAAGAGACACAGGTAATAAATGAACTATAAGCCTCACACTCCTCCCTCTAAGACCATTTTGGATAAATAAACGTTTTCCAAATATTGCCAGGGAATTCCAGAGTAGGAATAAATTCAAAAGGCATTCTTGCTTCTCACCTAGAGAACAAAGGGTTTTACATTTGACAGATACCTACTGTGGGATAGGGACCATGCTGAGAACTTTCATATTCATCATCCCACGGAATAATGGGTACTCGCCCAGTCTTGCAGATGAGGAAAATCCAGCTCCCATCACCCAGTCACACCAGAACTGCCGTTCCTTGGCCTTCCCACATTACTTGGTACGTAAGCTACCCCAGCCCCAATTACATCACCTTCAACTGATTTGTCCTTTGGCTTCTAGTTTTGGGATCATTCTAGTTACCTATTTGTAAGTGCTGTGAGGAGGAGTAATGAGACTTTTCGTGAGTTCTCACTTTATCAGGTGGCCACTCTCCCGTTCTGCAGGACTCACGGCAGATGTTGCTTAACAAGGGACTGGATTTGCTGATCCTCTCCGACCCCCATGTCTTACTTATCTGGCTATTTGTTTTTATTTTATGTTGAATTTAGATGCCTTTCTTGCCCCACCACTTCCTGTTGCCTTATACATAGTCTCTTTACTCATTTGTATGATCAGGGCTCTGGAGGCATTGGGGTCTATGACCCTGGGATTTAATGCCAGTGGTCCTCATCAGAACCCCACATCAGGGTGGTGGGATCTTTGGTTTCTCCTAGGGTTGCCGTGAAGAGCTGCTCAGTGGATTACTGCACAACTCTGGGGTAGACTATGGACGTGAGCTTCGCCCCTCGGAGCTGTGCAGTGGTGGTGGTGGCCGTGGTGTTGTGCACTGTGCTGGTGTACAGGGAGTGATTCTGGCCCTGAACACAAAGACTAAGGCTGCTTAGTGTTATCCTTGGTCCCATGAAAATGAAGGGGAATGAGGATGATGGAAGAAGAGACATTGTATGCACAGTTCAAAGGGTGGCCAATTTAGTGGTTTGTCATTATTGTGAAGCCCATCATTTGAATTCCTGCAGCTCAAACCATCCAATTGAATGTCATCTCTGGACAGATCAGGTCCAGCCACCAGTGTCCTCAATAGACTGAAATGACTCAATTTACTGAAGTAATTAAGAAACCTGAGTAGGGTATTTTCAACAATGGTGAGAAAAGCAAGTTTGCACTTCTTAGAATCATACTATATTAACTGTCAAAATTTCAGCTTGCTTTTTACTTTTTCCCCAAGCAAGAACGGTGCTGTGAATACTCTCGTTCTTCAACTCTCAGGGGAACTCAAGTGCTCCTTCAATCATTTGAAACAGAAAAATCATAGCAACAGTCCCAGTGATTCAGATCCCACATCTAGGACTGTACCAAACTTTGGCTGTGAACTACTCAAAACCTGAAGAGTAAGTGAACCAGAAACTGAGTGGCTGTGAGCCACAGGTAGGGTTCAGTTCCCTTCAAGAAAGATGCTCTGTTCAGATTCGTGCCTCTGAGACTTTAAAGGCATCAAATAGAAACTGGCTATGACATAAACCTAACATGTGGGTGACTTGGACATCAGCCCCTGAGTGGGGATGTGGCACAGGGTCCACCTTCTAGCTCCCATCCAGCCAACTGTCTACAAGCCAATATGTCTCCATTAGCAACACACACAATCAAACCAAACTACTGTACCTCCTCCGGCAAGCTGACCACCAAGTCATTTTTCGTCTGTCCGACCAGCGCCTGCCAGAAGTATTCACTGCATGCAGCCAGCACAGCCCGGTGGGCCCGGAACTCCTTCCTCTCCACAATCAGAGTCACGTCACAGAGAATATCCTTTTTCCGCTGGTCATTGAGGCCCAGGAGGATGTTGGTGCAGTGGACTGTGGACTCATACACATACATGGGGGAGTCAGGCTTCTCATCCACAGACATGCCGTTCAGACCCTGAAAGAAAGAGAGGCCGGGTCACCTCTATCTGAGTCACAGAGAGAAGGTGAGGAAGAACTTCATGGTTCCTGAGTCTCATTGCCATGAGCCAGGCAGAAAGGGGCAGAATTGCTCATTAGCATTTTCATGCTCAGCACAATGAGCTCAGAAAACATATTGGAGAGTCGGATTTTATGGCTGACTTTACCGTTTCCATTTACTGCGTCCTTTTATCCCATGGAAATGAAGCCAGATCTTTAATGGAACACCCAAAACATTTAAAACACATACATACTTTAAAACTTGGTAGTTTTGATTTTTGGCTGACTGAAAAGAAACTTTCATGTATACACAGTCCCAATTCAAGTATTCATTTGAGCTTTGTGTTAAGAGGAAATGAATCATTTTTGAAGTATGTGTAACGCTCTCTTGATTTAAATACATGTAAGTTGCTAAGTTGAAATTTGGTTAAGATACCAAATATTTAATCACAATACACAATTTAACAAGGGATCTAAGCAGTGTGTGTATTAACAGTAGATGTAGCCAGCTATTGCAATTGCCCTTGGCCACTGTAAGACAAAGCACAACCAACACAATGCCACTGTTGCTCATGAAAAGCTCTTGAAAAGAAGTGGAATGGAGCTGTCATGATCCGCAGATTCGGTGTACATCCTCTTTAAGGACATACAACATATCACAACAGGAGTCGTAACAAAGATGTATTCAACAGTGAAGTTCACTTTTACAAAAAAAAAGGTTCTTTGCTTTAAAAAGTGTCCACTGACATATTTAAAACAATAGTATCTGTACTTAATTTACATAACGTAGTTTTTCAGTAATGTTTACTACTAGTATGAATTCCAACAACGAGTCTTATTTTCTTTGTGGTTTTATGCTTATTTATTTTTTAACAGCTCTAATATACAATGAACTGCATATATTTATAGTGTGCAGTTTGATATATTTTGGTAATCAAGACAATGAACACATCCTTCATCAACAACAATCTCTTTATGTCCTTAATAGTCGCTCCCTTGCACCTCTCTGTATCCCAGCCCCTGAAACCACAGGTCTGCTCTGACACTACATATTAGTTGTCATTTTCTATATTTTATATAAATGGAATCATACAGATTGTATCCTTTTAATTCTGGCTTCTTTTATGATGTATAGATATTTTGTGATTCATCCATGTTGTGTGCACCAATTGTGTGTTCCTTTATTGACAAGAAGTGTTCTATTGTATGGACATAGTGCAATTTTTTATCCATTTATCTACTTACTGGTGGATATTTGGGTGCTCCCAGTTTTTGGCTATCCTATATAATAAAGAGCTAATATGCAAATGGTCATCACGCCCTTAGGCCATAATGGCTCAGACACTCAACACTGGGGAGAGAGGAATGGGGACCAGCTAGGCTGCGGCCCGGGAGAGGGACAAGCCGCCTGCCCCGTGGTCCTGGGTACCTGCGGCCTGAGTGAAGCCACCTGCCCACGGTCCCCTGTGGCTGTGGCTGGCCCAGGCGAAGCCAGCCCAGGTCCTGGGTGCCTGCGACCGGCCGGAGGAGGGAATCATGGGTCCCACATGCGGGGCGAGGCAGAGGTGGTTAGGGGCGATCAGGCCATCAGGGAAGCAGTTAGGGGCGATCAGGCAGGCACGCAGAGGTGGTTAGGGGCAATCAGGCAGGCAAGTGGTTAGGAGCCAGTGGTCATGGATTGCGAGAGGCAGTCGGACATCCCCTGAGAGGTCCCAGATTGGAGAGGGGGAGGCCGGGCTGAGGGGCCCCCCCCCCCATGCACAAATTTCGTGCACTGGTCCTCTAGTTACAAATAAAGCTGCTATAGATTAGTGTTTAAATCTTTATATGACCATATCCTTTCATTCCTCTGTGTAAATACCTAGGGGTAGAATGGAAGATTATTTGGTATGTGTAAGTCTAACTTTAAAGAAAAAGATTTTTTTATTGATTTTTAGAGAGAGATGAAGTAAGAGGGGGAGAGGGAGAGGGAGAGGGAGAGAGAGACATTGACTGGGTGCCTCCTGCAAGCCCCCCACTGGGGATCGAGGCCGCAACCCTGACTGGGAATCGAACCATAATCTCCTGGTCCATAGGTCAATGCTTAACCACTGAGCCACACTGGCTGGTGCTTATTAGTTTTCATAACCTTTTTGTGGTAGATTCCATAGATGTTCTATGTAGATTATGTTGTCTGTAAATGAAGACATTTTATTTCCTTTCCAATCTGGATGATTTCAAGGTAGTTTCTTGCCTTACTGCATTGGCTAGATGTACTGGTACTGCACTGTACCTCTAGTACAGTTTAAACTGTAAGTGGTATGAGCAAATATCCTTGCCTTGTTCCTGATGTCAGGGGAAATGGATTCCGCCTTTCATTGTTATTTATGATGGTAGCTTTAAGTATTTCATAGATGTCCCTACTGAGTTGAGGAAATTTCTTTCTATTCCTAATTTGCTGGGAGTTTATTTAAAAAATCAGGAATGGATGCTGGATTCTGACAAATAGTTTTTCTGCATCTATTGAGATAATCACAGTTTTTCTTTTTTTAAAAAGTGTTTTAATAAGGAAAATAACATTGGTTTATTTTTGAATGTTAAACCAATCTTGCATTTCTAGGATAACCTCCACTTCATCATAATATATGTGTCTTTTTACACGTTGTCAGACTTCATTTCCTAACATTTTGTTATCAGGCAGCACTCAAAACTAGGTGGAACAATTAATGTTCAAGGATGTAAATGGTGTGCATAATTCATAAGGAGCAGGAGATTTATGAGACACCTCTTTTCTCTAATCCATTTATTAATGCACCTATACCAAAAAGAGGGAAGCTTACTATAAACAGACACAAAGCTGTAAGTTTTTCAGTGAAACATGAAATTAAATAAAATCACAAGAGAAATGAAAGTGAGGTGCCGTGGAAAGAGGAGTGGACAGGGGTGCAGGCCTTCTGGCCCAGCTCTGGCACCGTGTGGACTCCGGATGCCTCACTTTTCTCTGGGTCTGCTTCCATGTTTGTAAAATGAAAAGTCTTGACTAGAAGACCAGCCAATTTCGTACCAATCTACAATTCTATGGTCCAAGAGTCTATAAAAGAAATACCTAACTGATCACGAGAGTGAGATATTGTCACTTTAGTTGAGACAAGTTAGAAGCCAATTTCGTACCAATCTACAATTCAATGAGTCCAAGAGTCTATAAAAGAAATACCTGACTGATCATGAGAGTGAGATATTGTCACTTTAGTTGAGACAAGTTAGCTTTCTGTAACTTTATAGAGACCAATTATGGAGCCTCTTTCATTGTGGATATTGCAGAGCTGGGTGCAGAGAATGGGGTGAACAATATCCAGGAAGAAACCAAAGTCTTCTGGGAGAAAAGAAACTAGGACCTGAGTCCCTGGCTCCCATAAGATACCAAATTGGGAAGCTCTGTTGAGATAGAACACGGTATCCCTGAGGAAAAGGGGGGAGGGACAAGTCCCTTAAGGTGACATTACTTTAGGTAACGGGAAACCCAAACTTAGGAGGATGTTTTGGCATAATATGCGGACTGATGCTATTATCTCCTCCAGTCCTGGTTATCTTAGCCCAGAGGTTTGTTCTGGGAACTATGTCGACCAAGGGAATAAACACTAAAAGAGTATGTCACCCTAGAAACCCAGAGTGGAGTTCCACTGAGGTCCAAGGAGGGTCCTGAGGACTGTCCTATAGCACTAAACACGGGCCTGCCCACCAGGTAGGAGCAGCCATCCACGGTGCCTCAGATTCCAGCTCACAGGCAAGATGGTCTCTTTCTGGCTCTAGGGCAGCTGGTGGCAGGGGCCTCAAGAAAAGACTCCATACCCTGTCATAGGGCCGGTTTGGGAAAATAAAGGAGATGTGGCAATATGTGCCCCCGAGTTGATAAAGCAGGTTATGGTAGCCCCATGAACGTCTGCTTTTTGGGCTGAACCTTCCAGAGAGTTTTAGAAGACATTTAAAACATATCAGATCGGTTCATCAAATGGTAAATCTAGAATCTATCATTTCCAGGAAGCTGTTGCTAGACTTTAACCTGACTGAGGATATTCTTGCTTTTATTACATTATTCCTGGAAAATCTTTCCTTATGCCATGCCAGCACCACTCTATTACTTTTTGCCTTTATGTTCCTATTGGATCTCATCACTTCCCTCCCTGTTGGCCCCTTTTCAAGCATAATGGGACATACTGTTTCTTCCTCTTTTAGAAATCATTCAGCCCGCCCCATCCCCTGATTATCATGGGTGCTCTTCTAGGAATTCCTCCAATTTGCCTGTTTTTGACTGACTCATGCCAACCTGAAATCTGTTTCCCCTATCACTGCATTAGGTTTCATTCCGTTTTCCTTTTTCACTTGCCTTACTAATATTAATTAAACGGTATTTTATCCCTAATGCAGCAAATCCTGAAATCTTTAGCAGAATCCATGGGATATAAGAACCAGATACTTGGTAGTGAGTAACAGAGCCCAAAATAGTATGTACGAGTCTGACAGCCAGTCTTCAGGCTAAGCATTAGACAATGTGTTAAAGTGTGTAGACATTAGCTGAAATCAGATTGTAAGGAAGTGTTCCAAAGGTTCTGATTTTGGGTCTTGGCTGGATCTCATTCTTCTTTTTGTAGGCCAAAAAACCCAGCTGCACACGTACATATACATATACCAAATCGTCTCATCATATGGTTCAGCAGTAAAAGTTAGTTACTGTTATTTTATCATAGTGTGTTCATCTCCTCAAAAAGCTACACAGACCACAACTCTCATCAGTAAGAGATCTAGTATTAATGAAGGCAAACTACTTGTTAATGCATTCATTCCCTCTTTGTTCATTATTGGGTCATATTCAGAAATTAAATATCTAACCGTTCTGAAGGTAAAAGGATAAAGTCAAAGAACCAAAAAAAGAAAAAAATCTACACTGGGAAGTCTGAAAAGCTGTAATTCACAAAAGAGTAGAATGTTAAGTTTTTCAGA